ATCCTTCTCCCTAACTTGGAGGTCGGCCAGCTCTCGGGCGGTGGGGGCAAGCTCAGCCACATCCTGATGGGTGGCAGCGAGCTATGTGGCTAGCCCCTCACTCCGCCGCGTTTCCTCAGTGAGGAATTAGAACTTCTCACGGCTGCGGGCCATAAGGGACTGTAGAGAGGACAAGACTTAGAGGCGCACAAAGGGGAAAATGAGGGTCGGAAGTACGGTCATATCATACCTGGCGAATCGAGGCGACAATGTCGCGCAGCGAGCTCAGCACGATGGTCAGGGCCTGAACCGTGGTCCCAACCTCCGTGTGGACGCTCCCCCATTCCCTCTCCCACGCTGCGTCGTCGAGGGCAAATAGTGTCACCCTAGGTCCCGCCGGTCCGCCCACCAGGTTTGGGACTCTCCCAAGGCGTGTGGGACACCGCCCACCTGGACCAGAGACCAGGATGGTTCTACACCGATCCCAAGCGGCGTCGACCCCTCTTGCGACAACAACTCCTCCGGCGATAGAGGGTGTGGGTGACATGGATGCGGAGACCTGCCCCATCGCCACATTCGCTAAGGACGCCTCGGGTACATCCTCCTCCATCTGCCCCACCGAGGAGGCGGCCACCCGCACGGATGATGGCTACGGCTATGCCACTTCCGCCTATGATGTCGTGGCCACACCTGATTGCGCCACGTCTGCCATGGGTGCCCCAGACACGCCCTCCTCCATCTGCTCTCCCATCGATGCAGCCATCGGCTATGCCTCCCCAGTCGATGCCGTGGCCGCCCTAGCGCCACTCCCACTCACCCCTGGTGCGGCGCCAGCCGGCTCCTGGTGTGTATGCCGGAGGAGGCTCTTCTTCGGCGCAAGCCTCAGGAGAGTCCCATGTCCTTTGACGTTGCAAAGGACATGGCGGTCAGTTTACGACAAAAATTCATTAGAACAAAAGGATGAAAAAACTCTTGACTCACCTCGACACCATCGGACGATGATGTTTCGGGGCCGGCCCGCCTGACCCTGGCTACTCCTTGTCGGCACGTTGCAACTTCGAGACCTCACTCTGCTCGGAGGGTCCAGATGGAGCGGAGCGGCCGGTTCCCGCCGACTCCGGGGGAGGCGCGGGAGGCCCGGATGGAGTGGGCGGCTTGATTCCACCGGCTCCAGGGGTGTGTCCTCCCCCTCCTGCCCCGGGGCATGCCATGGGCAAGGCCCCGCCAACGGCAGAGACGGATCCTCGTCCCCGCCACCCAGCTCGTCCCATTGAATGGGCGACCCAAAACCGTCCCCACCACCTAGCTCATCCCAATGGACGGGTGACCTAGAACCATCGCCTTCTTCATCATCATCATCATCATCTTCTTCTTCTTCCTCCTCTGAACCCTACCGCCACTTTCCTCGGTTCAGCCTCGCCTGCTGCTTCGCCCGCTGCCTCACCCCCTTGTCGTCCTTATCCTTATTCCTCTACTCATCTGCGGCGTGGTTCGCCGCCCTCATGGCCGCATGCTCCGACAGCGGCGCGATGGAGGCCTGAAAGCCCAAATCCACTGGCAGCTCGATAAAGCCGGGCTCCGACCGCATCATGGGATGTCCTAGGATTGGGAACATGGTGTTGGACTCGTTCATCACCTCCTTGATGCGTTGTGCGACCTCGCTATCATGGAGCGGCCCCTGGGCGAGCACCGTCCCGTCGAGCTACGCGCCGGGCGTCATCTCGTACAGTGGGAGAGCACGTGCCATCAGCGGTGCCACCCTTCTCACGTGATATGCCCCAATGACACTGGCCCCGTGAAGGCCACGGCTCCTCAGGGATGCGACGGCCTCGAGGACGTCGCACATCCTCTTCTTTTCCTTGACGGGTGGCCCCCACGGCCATGTCAGTGGCGCCTCTTCGATTAGGCGCCCGGTGAAGACCGGCAATGGAGTGGTGGGGTCGTTCTTCAAGTAGAACCACTGCGCGTGCCACCCCTTGTTGGATCTGGATAGCTAGCAGGGCATGTACTCGGCCGCCCGCTGCCCCCGGAGGTGGATGCCCACACATCCCATCGGCAACGGGATCTCTCTACTTCTGTCCTTCTTCCTGTGCAGGGAGACTACGAAGAAGTACCTCCACAACTCGAAGTGTGGCTCGATCCCCAGGTACCCCTCGCACATTGCGATGAAGGACGTGACATGCTAGATTCCGTTGGGGTTGAGGTGCTACAGCCTGATCTGGTAGTGGTGCAGTAGCCCCTAGAAGAACGGATGAGGGGGGATTGCGAACCAGCGCTCGTGGAAGGGCGTGAAGGAGACGATGTAACCGTCGGGCGGCATCGGCACATCCTCATGGCCAAGAACCAGCCACTCCATCGCGTCGGTCCTCCTGCGAAGAAGACCACGCTTGATGAGGCCATCCATGCATGCGTGGGTGACATAGGATCGGTACCATGACTACATGGAAAGCAAAGACGGAGGAGCAAGGACTTTTTGGTGGCAGTGGAGAAGCGAAGGCCGTGGATCTAGGGCACTAGTGGCGGATTAGCAAGGGCAGCGGATCCGAACGACAGTGGTGGAAAGGCAGAGAAGGCAAGGTTGCAGTTTAATGTGCCTAAACATGAAGGGAGAGGCCGCTATTTATAAGGCGGGGTGAGGCGAGAGGCGAACCATTCGCCTAGATTTATGTGCCCGCTGCACCGCGTCACATCGCCTCTCCGAGAAACATGCGCACGCCACCTCTGGCCGCTCCCTCGAAGGACGCGTCGGATGACGGTTTGCCCCATTCGATGGGCCAAGAATCGCCACAGGTAAGGAGGGATACGGAGCTAAAAACGCTCCCACGGCCCATTCAGGCCCAAGAGTTCGAAGGTTGGCCCACCGATAGGTTCACAACTGCTCCGAGACGCCTTTAGAGTGAGGGGTGGAAAGGGTTGGCCCTACTAGCGGCCAGTACCTAGGCGCACGAGCACCGTAGGCATCCCGGCTCAGGTTCGAGTCTTGGTCGGTTTATAGTCCATGGTTTTTCCTCGAAGAAAGACAGCGAACCCTTGGGACCGATCGAACGGACCCAGGAACTATATGGATTGGCCGCCAAGAATCTAGAGTCGGTCACCAGCTGACCTATGCCAGACCCCCACGAACGGGAAGCCAGGGCCCCACTCGGACTAGCCCATTAACAGCTCACTGAGCACCATGATTCGACCATCGAGGAAAACATGGCACGGCTCAACCCCTCTATTTTATCGAAAAAACGCTTGAGGGAGGACGATCACAAGACGAGCTAACCCCTCGATCGGACCCCTGCTATGTGCGGGGGCTCGAGCGAAGTTGGACTTGCAAGGAAACCGAATACATGGTCGCATGATGATGGCGGATTGATCGGATCCTAGGAAGGGATCGGAATTAAGAGAAATCTTTTTTGACCTCCTGAATCCCGTAGTTACATGTTCCCAAGGAGTCCGATCGCGATAGAAGGGAATCGCAACCCACCAAGGCATCCCGCGGGCAGCAGAAGATTGAAGCCCTCGAAGTCTCTCCATCCGAAAAAGCCTACGAAGGAGTATCCTACTCCTCCGTAGGCTCGGGGGCTAATATCGGGTATCGGTATTAGGGATACCCGAAGAAGGGATCTGAGGACCGCAGATGACAAACTCGCCTAGATAATCGAGGATGTATTTCAGTCTCGATCGACCCCGAAGGGACGATTGCCGTCTCGCTCGACCCCTCGGGCACGGGCTCCATCCCGCTCGACCCTGAGGGCACGGGCTCCGTCCCGCCCGACCCCGAGGGTGCGGGCTCTGTCTCGCCGATGGATCCATCCCGCCTCCAACCACTATGGGTCTAAGGGTACGACCCTAGGGTCAAACTTCTGACACTGGGAAGGAAGCGAGCATGTCTCGACGTGACCCGTGGCCATGTCAGGCCACGCCCGGGGGTTCACATCGCCAACAGTGATGGGTGCGTGGTCGTTGTGCTGCCTACTCCTCGTACGGCCGCTGACAGGCACGTTGGTTCACCACGCCGTCCGCTGGGACGGGTTGGGATGCCACGACTAGCTGATGACGTCGAGGTGTGGCACCAGTGGTGAACAGGAGCCTGACGCGGAGCCATCCCCGTCACCGTCTACAGCATCGGCGGAACTCACATAAAGGAGAAGAAGGACGCGGCGGCCCTAGAGGCCTTCTTCTCCCTCGCTTTTCCCCTTTTCTCTCTTTTCTCTCTCCGTGTAACCTACGCCTTCCCCTTCACCTATCAAAGGGGAAGCAAGACGCCCCATGAGGGGCAACGAGCACACGGTTGAACGAGCTCAGAAAGACTCAACTCCATCCGATCTTTCCGCCAGAGACTTGGTATCTTCTCCCTCTCTCGTCTGTTTTTAACCACTACTACAAACTAGTGCCGGAAATACGAGCAGCAGCAGACTGGACGTAGGGACATTCCGCACGAACCAGTATAAATTTTTGTTTCCTCCGAGCACACCATCCGGGTCAGACGCGCAGATACAAATTTACTAACCGGTGATCCGAAACACCGACAAGTAGACAGTCGTAACGCAGATCCTAAAGCACAATCAAACGATAGAAATATGACAGAATTAGAAAAAAAATTGTCAACAGATAAATAGGAAAAGTCTAAACTAAAATGCATAAAAAAAATTGGTCGATATACTATGCTAGCTGCTCAATTGCGCCGATCCCCATGTCAGTTTGTTTTATTCGGATAACAAAACTGTTTAAATTAAGGGATATATGTAGTTTCGTTTGAACGGGATTGAAGTTTATAGTTAAGCATATCTAGCCGACTCCAAACGGACGTGCATGGCAAATGGCGTTATATCATGGATATGCCAGGATTATGGAACCGAACTGAAATAGCAAGTTTGTTAGGGATATGCCAGGATTATGGAACCGAACTGAAATAGCAAGTTTGTTAGGGTGTCAACACTTTGACCCTATAAATACATGAGAGCTGCGGCCGCATCCATCATAACACAACCGCTTCCTTTCATCTGGAGCAGCGCGCAAACAGTCACACCACCATGAAGCCTTTGGCGGCCATCATCATTCCTGTCCTCGTCCTCCTCCTCGTCGCCATGAATGGTAAGTGTATTGTCTTTTCTACACTTAGGCCGGTCTCAGTGAGGTTTTATGGCCCAGTTTTCAGTACACTCATATTTTGGAAACAGTATAGAAGAGTTTCATCCCCATAAAACTCTCTCTACTACCATAAAACTTTCATCCTCTCTCTTTATAAATACATTGTTTGTCAACATATTTAATGTCTATGAAACTCTCATGAAACCCCATTGAGATTGGCCTTATTAGCTTCATGGAGCTAGTTCATTGCTGATTTGTGGTTTGCATCTGCGATCAAATTAAAGCTGCGCATGTGGAGTCGCGTCGGAGTGGAATGATGTACCAGTTGTATGTCTTCGGAGATTCGTACGCCGACACCGGGAACCTGCCCAAATCAAATCTGAGTCGTGAGTCGCGTCAATGGTACAAACCCTACGGCACCTCGAGTCCAAGCGGCCGCTTCTCAAACAGATTCGTCCAATCTGATTTCGTCGGTAAGCTCAAATCATTCTTGATCATCAGTCCATTGTAATTGTCCAATAAGTTGTTTGCATATGCAGATCGATCTTTTATCAGTCTGATATGACATGTTATCATCTCGATGGATAGTTATACATGGTGTGATTTTTCTGTTTTGTACACCGATCGAACATAATTAATCTATATATACACTCTATGTCGATGTTACTATATGCAGCTTCGTGGCTAGGGCATCATGAAGCCCCTCAGACTTTCAGGCTCAGAAACAGAAACGACATCACGCGGTTTGGCATGAACTTCGCCGTGGCCGGCTCCGGCGTGCTTGAGGTGCCCGAGAAGGTCGCGACCCTCAGCAAGCAGGTCGACAACTTTGAGGGCCTGATCAAGGACCGCACCTTCCCGCCATGGCGCCTGAGGTTCTCCCTCGCGCTCATCGCCATCTCCGGCAACGACTACGCCCGCATCGCCAACATGAGCTCCTCCAACGACGTGAGTCACGCATCAATCTACATCTACATATATACGTCGTGCTGCTCTGTTGCACTCGCGTAACGTAAGTTACGACGTGCCTATATATGGTTGCAGACCATGGCTTTGATCGAGACCGTGACGACGGGGATCGCCAAGGAGGTGCAGCGGCTGCAGGATCTCGGGATGAACAGGATCCTCGTCAACAACATGCACCCGCTCGGCTGCACGCCGTTCCGGACCAGGCCCAACAGCTACACCCACTGCGACGACGTCGCCAACGCGGTCGCGGCCACCCACAACAAGCTTCTCGCGGAAAAGCTGGGCAACTACCGTGGAAACGTCATGCTCCTCGACCTCAACACGGCCTTCTCCAGGGTCGTACATCCCAATCCCAGTATGTCAGCTTCTAGTTGTTGGTTTGATTCTGCTAAAAAAAAAGTTGTTGGTTTGATTATGCTTTCATCCATATCGATATATATGGGTTCTGTTCGTTGGATTTAGATGCTCCTCTCCTGTTCGTGTAGATGCAACGGGAAGTGATGACGAGACTCTGGCTAAGACGTTCAAGAACAAGCTGAGGCCGAGCTGCGAGAGCTTTGATCCCAAGGGCTACTGCGGGCAGGAGGACGAGAATGGCTCTCCTCAGTACAGCGTCACCGACGACCTTAGCAAAGATATGTTCAGCAACTTCTACTGGGATGATGTACACCCCACCCATACCGGTTGGTTCGTCGCCATGATGCAGCTGGAGGAGGAAGCCAAGGCTTTCCTAGATCTTAAAAATTAGGTTGCCAGTTAAATTATTTGCCATGCATAATCGACGATAGAAATAAGTTGTTTTTAGTTAGGTTCGCACTGTTTGGATTTGCTTAGGTTTCAATAAGGTTTTGGCACTACCTCGATCGTGCGATGCACATCGGTTTGATCAATTATATTTTTGTCGAACGTTATCGTAACATTTGTGTATTATAGATTGACTTTTGCTATTTATCTGTTGACATATTTTTTTTGAACTAAATCGATTTTTGCTTTTATCTGTTGACAGATTTTTTTTGTTACTAAATTTGTCAGATTTTATACGTTTGATCGTGCTTTAATATTTGTGCTACAATTATCTACTGGGTCGCATTTAAAAAAATCTGACAGATGTGACCACATAAAATTTGTCGATAGATAACTAGACACTCCCTTTAGTTATACTCTTCTCACTTGTTTTTACTCTTCATTTCCTATATACTCTGAATATTAAATGGCTTCATTAGAGTCTATTGGTACCATAAATAGATGTGTTTAACCATGAGCGACTTGTGTGTTACATTTAACCTTACTTTATTGGTTGGCTAACGCCATGGCCTCAATCTATATACCAGGAAGGAATCTAGATGTCGGCGTGTCGCATAGAGGGGAAAGTACAAACCAGGCGCTCAAAGAGAGCCCGGGTAAATGAAGCTCAAAGTGTATGAGATCATGTGTTTTTAACCTTCCGGCATAGCGCAAAGAGATGAATTCTTTAGCATAGGTCGGCGCCGGAGCATGGGCGGGCGTCCAGGGTCCCTGGCCCTGGTCTACCATTGGAGGGAGGGGGGGATAGGCAATTTTGAAGAAAAAAAACTTGCAGCGGATAATAGGACCGAAATTTCTTATCTAAGTCGTTATTTTTTATAGTGGGTAACGCGAAAACACAAACCAACATAGATTACATCTATTTAACTGATTCTACTTGCTATCAACAAGGGTTGCTAGACATGTAGTAGGTTGGTTCCTCCCGAAACCTGCAAACAAAAATACAAGAACAAGTAGATCTGGGTGAATCACCCAAAAGTCAACAAGAACAATAAGAACACAAGAACAAGTAGTGATGACATATGATTTGTTTACCAAAGTTTAGGTTCACCTCTGTGAATCCTATGTCTCTGTTGAGGATCTCCCGAACCAAGTCACTTTTAACCACTTTAATTTACTAACTTCACTATCTTGATTTCTTCCTTGTGGAAGCGAAGTTCGGATGGTTTCAAAACACCCAAAGAGCAAATTCGGATGGTTTCAAAAGCCGGAGGATGTCCTAGTTTTTTTTTTTTTTTTTTTGCTCAGGGAGCTAGGGAGGTAAATTAGACTTCGACAAAAATTAAGGAAGGTCAAATAGACTTTTTCAATATATCTACCGCATTTATATGATCATGGCCTCCCCGGCAACCTAGGCCTAAATCTCGTTGTAAGTGGCGAGTGGATTTTGTGGTCTTCAAAGCCATGTGTTTTGGAGAGATCTTGTTTGACCGTTCGTCTTATTAAAAAAATTATAAATTATAAAATAGATAAATTATTATTAAAGTATCTCTAATGATAAAATAAGTCATAACAAAATAGATAATATGTATAAAAAAATTAAATAAGATGAACAGTCAAACAAGATGTTTAGAATTCAAAAACGTCATTATTTTGGGACGGAGGGGGTACTACTTTTCTCTGGCCCCTTATCTTCAGGATATAGTAGTATCATTGAATTGTCGTAGAAAGACCGTTACTGCTAGCGTTTTCCATTTTCCAAGTTAGTTGGAACATGCATTCATGCTAGTTATTATATGAATTCATGCATGGAGAGTGAAGGAGTGTAGTCGTTCAGGTAGTTCTTGCATGCATGAACAGTGAAGTGATGGCGGCATGTATGAAGAGTGAGTGATGGCGTGATGCTGACCATTAAGGAACGCAACACAACACTAGAGTAGTAGAGTAGCCTTGCCTGTTTCAATATATATATATATATATATATATATATATATATATATATATATATATATATATATATATATATATATATATATATATATATATATATATATATATATATATATATATATATATATAAACAATAATAAAGAAGTAGTGTTACGCAGTTTGTATCCTCGATCTCTTCATCATCTCCACAAATCCATGGACTAGTTATCTCCCCTTTTCTTTTTCCTTTCTCCCGACCAACAATTTAGATATTGGAGCAAAACAAATAAATCACTCTTCAACACCAGCTCAGCTGCATGACGATGGTGCACTGGGCAGGGGTAGGATAACTCAGGAGGATATTATGTGTACCTTACACAGCAGAGGGAGATGATGGATGAGGAATTCAGGAGTGATTTGAAGCTGTGCCATTGGAGACATGTTGTTACTATTGGTCAGGAAATCAAGACAAGATAACATGTTGGAGAGCTATTGCGCCGCTGTAGGGCTAGATTAGAGGAAGCAGTTCTGTTGTAGTGGACGCGGCCGTAGCTCTCGTATATTTATAGGGTTAAAGTCACGGCACCATAGCAAACTTTCTAATTCAGTTCGATTGAATTATCCTGGAATATCCTCCACGCACTCAACAGATATAATGCCATTTTGTCATGCACATGCATGTCCGTCTGTTGCACCTAGATATTTGTGATTTAAGTTACACTCGGCTAGATATGCTTACCATAAACTTCGACCCCGTTCAAACGAAGCTATATACCATATATCTTAATTTAAACAGTTCTGTTATCTGAATAAAAAACTTGCATGGTGATCAGCGCAATTGAGCAGCTAGTATAGTGTTATATTGTCCAATTTTTTTATGCAATTTAGTTTATACTCTTTACCTGGATTTACTCTTTATGTCCTATATATATTCTGAAGTCAATGATTTCATTAGCGTCTATTGGCACCATAAATAGATGTTTAACCATGAGCGACCTGTGTGTTACATTTACACTTATTTTATTGGTTGGTTAACATCATGGCCTCAAGCTATATATTGGGCAAAAAATTGTGAATCGAGACGTCACCTAGAGGTGGAGGTGAATAGGCAATTATGAAAAATAAAAAACTTGGAACAGATAGGAGGACAAGAATTTTTTATACCAGGTAGCACAAAAACACAAATCAACAAGAATTACACATATTTAATCAATTCTACTTGTTATCAAGGTTTCTAGACATGTAGTAGGTCAGTTCCTCCCAAAACCTACAAACAGTAACACAAGAACAAATAGATCAAGCCGAATCGCTCAAAAGTCAATAACAACACAAGAATAAGTAGTGATGACACGATTTGTTTACCAAAGTTTGGATTCACCTTCGTGAATCCTACGTCTTTGAAAGCTGCCAAGGGAGCCAGGTCATTTTTAACCACTTTAATTTACTAACTTCACTACCTTGATTTCTTTCCTTATGGAGGCAAAATTATCGTAACCTTCACAAACTTCCCGTGGCTCACCACAAGCTTGGGAACTCGTCGGGAAACTCTAACCCATCTAGGAGGCTTCACCTCCAAGAGTAACAAACACTTCACCAAATGCTTGACGAAATCCACAAGTGCTCAAAGACTAGGATTGCTCTCTCTTGCTCTCAGTCATCCAATTTCTCAACCCAACTCTTTAGATCTCACAAGAATCAAGCAATCCTCACAAAAAGGGAGAGGGAAGAGACCAAAGGGCTATAAAGATGTGTTCTTCATGGCTGGGATCAGCTAAATGAGAGAGGTGTGAGTGAAAGCCCTAGTTTGATTTTGGTAATTGAGTGACAACCATGTGGACTAATGCATTCAATAAGGTTGATTAAGCTAGCGTCCACTTGATGGTGATGAACAAGGCTTAGGAGATGGTGGAGATAGACATCATGATCATAAAAGCTAGTGCTCAACCATGGAGAGAAGAAGGAGATGTAAAGCAAATGAAAGCAATAGGTGTAATGCATAGGAGCTTTGCTTTTGCCGACCAAGGTGCAATAGAGTGCATAGTCAGGTTTAGGATATACAGTTGTACTATAAAGAGGCGAGCTATAAAGCATTTATGGTTGTCTAGTGCCACTAGGTGATGTCATTCTTTGCATATGCATCAAGCCTTGTGACGTTGTGAGAAGCAAGCAAAAATGCTTTTTAAACACTTTGAAAAAATTCTAACTCAGCACTCAAGTGTTGGTGTTCAAAGGTTAACACACTTGAAGTTAGCATGCTTGCATAAAGGGTAAGAAGTACTGCAGGGACAATCCTTTTCTACTCACTTGAACTGTCCGATGGGGTCACCGGAGACCCCATCGGAGCTTAGTTGACCGGGCTGACTCAAAGGAAAAACATATGCTTGCACGTTGCTAACCTATGTGAAAGTTCTAGTTTGGTTTTGGCTAATTGATGAAACCATGGTGGACTGACCTTCTCTCTAAGTGTTGTGATTGAAGTAAGGTTGGTTCACATCCAAGGTGGAGCTAGATGGCACTCATGTGATAGAGATGGACAAATGATGGTGATCAAGTGCTCCAACTTGGAAAAGAAGAAAAAGAAAACAAAATGAGGCTCAAGGCAAAGGTATAAAGCTAGGGCCATTTTGTTTTGCTAATCAAAACGCAATAGAGTACGTGATTGGGTTTAGAATAGATAGACGTACTATTAAGAGGTGAACTCGGTGATTACGATTATCTAGTGCCACTAGGTGATTTAACTCCATGCATGTGCATTAGGACCTAGTGAGTGCTAACAACCCTTGAGATGAAAAGATTTATGAAATGCTAACTCACGTACACAAGTGTTGGATATACTTGGAGCTACTTTGCCTACATCGGATGCTGGCACAGGCATCGGACGTTGTGCGTCGGATGATGTCCGATGTGTTTTGGCTACTCTCTATTTGAGGAAATGGATTGACTAATACGACAAAATAATATTGGACTGCTTTGAGTGTTTTGCAAGCCTACGTAAGAGCTTGTATAAACAACCACACACTAACAAATTGTATTACATAAACCTAATACAAGCTAATGCAGGCAAACAAACTAGCCCTATTGTCACATCCGACCCAGTTTGGAATTTGGCCCATAGTGGCCCATGTGCATGTTAATGAGATATTATGAAGAGTTTAGTCCCACCTTGATTGTTAAAGGTATGATAGACCAACATATAAGGCTTCTAGAGTCCATCCCACCGTCCTCGGATTAATTCTTTTACGTGAAGCGAGGACGAAAGCGCAAGTGGGATGGTGGTAGGTGTGGTTCGCTCAACGTGCACAGTGGATCTAAACCGTTTGGACTCTAGGGCATTACAAATGATATCAGAGCCGACCTTCGCGGCCACGGGCGCGTGCGGGTCAGGTGCGTGGACATGGGGTTCATTGCGCGTGTAGGCCCTGCGGGTTACATGGCATGGCACATGTGCCGGCACTGGACGCACGGTCGTGTGTGCTAAGAGGGAACGTTCCATCCAACTCAAGTTTGGAATTTGGCCCATAGTGGCCCATGTGCATGTTAATGAGATATTGTGGAGAGTTTAGTATCACCTTGATTGTTAAAGGTGGTGGTAGGTGTGGTTCGCTTAGCGTGCAGAGTGGATCTGAGCCGTTTGGACTCTAGGGAGTTACAAATGGTATCAGAGCTGACCTTCGCGGCCACGGGCGCGTGCGGGTCAGGTGCTCGGACATGGGGTTCATTGCGCGTGTAGGCCCTGCGGGGTGCACGGCATGGCACATGTGGCGGCACTGGACGCACGGTCGCATGTGCTAAGAGGGAACGTTCCTGGTCATCGTTTTCCCGGTTGTGGGTGTGTTGGGCCGACGAGGATGTCGGGCCCTTTAAGGAGGGGTGTATGTCACATCTGACCCAGTTTAGAATTTGGCCCATAGTGACCCATGTGCATGTTAATGATATATTGGTTGTGGGTGTGTTGGGCCGACAAGGATGCCGGGCCCTTTGAGGGGGGTGTATGTCACAAACGATCCAATTTGGAATTTGGCTCATAGTGGTCCATGTGCATATTAATGAGATATTATGGAGAGTTTAGTCCCACCTTGATTGTTAAAGGTGGGATAGACCAACATATAAGGGTTCCAGAGTTCATCCTATCATCCCCAGATTAATCCTTTTACGTGAAGTGAGGACGAAAGCGTAAGTGGGATGGTGGTAGGGTTGTAACGTCCCAGAGTCCAAATGGTTCAGATCCACTCTGCACGCTGAGTGAACCATACCTAACACGAAGCCTTATATATTGGTCTATCCCACCTTTAACAATCAAGGTGGAAGTAAACTCTCCACAATATCTCATTAACATGCGCATGGGCCACTATGGGCAAAATTCCAAACTGGGTTGAATGTGACACCTATATTCAGAAGCAAAGCGTACGAAAAAAAAATGTTGCACGCGCTTCTCCCCTCCACAGAAGCACCAATTTGAAATGTCATAGATTCTCCGTCCATTCCAAATTGGCTCTTCAATATACATAGCTTTTTATATGCACCTATACGTTGTCTAAATATACAGTAAAAATCATATATATGGAAAAAAAATCAAAACAATTTATAATTTAGAACAGAGAGAGTATAATATATTATTCTGTTGCCATCGAAGGTCAAAGCAGTACATCATTAACATTAGAGGCACCATATTCAGAAATGACTTGCTAAATAATTTACGTATCTAAAAATCAATGACATTTTGCCATCAACTCATCTCAAATGATGTGAGCCCCATTATAAGGGCTCGTTCAGCTTTTCTAGATATATAATTTTTTATCTAGGCATAAAATGTTTAGGTATCGAGAAAAACTAAAGGTAGAAAAACTTATAGTTCGCATCAGAGGGAGTACATTATACGTATCAGTCACACTACTGAGCTTCCCCTGCTGTTGGAGTCAAAGGTGATCCTGACTGTTGAGTCCTAACTGAACACGGGTGTGTTCACCTCTCCCATAGTATGATGCATTGTTTAGCCAGTCATGGTGTACAGTACAGTGAGCGGTACGTACGGCATCAGGTCTTGCACTTTGCCCCGTTCGCTAGGCCTTAAACCCGGCTTGCACTTATTTTTTCATCCGGAACAGTGTTTTTCTCTTACAAATTCCTATAACATTCCTCCAAACCATTCAGATTCCTCCAAAATTCAGACAAGCGAACAGACCCTAGATCCTTTAATATTTGCCTCTAAATCCTTTAATATTTTGTATGTCACTGAAACACGCCCATAAAAAAGGGCTTGGACAACCACACAAACTATTAAAAATTATCACATTTGCTGGCAGTATCCAACCGCAACTCGAGTCAATGTATTGCTCCTCTAAGTCCAACAGAATAATACACAGAAGTTCATTATTTCACATGCACTTTCTTAACAAAATAAAAATCATCACAATGACTAATTACAACATCAGACATACTCAAAGTGCCGATATTTCTTTTATGACCTGCTCCTTGTCTGCTTCGAACTGTTCATCCTCTGATTCATAATATAACAATAAGGTTAGTTAATGTCAAACTGTTATACTGGCAGATTAAACCCAAACAGTAAATGACTACAGTGATTTAATTCGATCAACACTAAAAAAAACAGCTCAAGCGGCTCAAATTATAGCTGAACCACAAGTCCACAGCTAAGGTATTGTGAGTAGATTAGCAAGCAAGTACACAAACGAAAGTTAAAGCAGGTATAGTACCTTTGTCAATCTTGAATCCAGCAAAAAACCGAAGTAGCTTGCTTCTATTGGTGACCAGTATGTTCACGACCTCAGGCGGTTTGTTTTTATTCGCAGCAAACAGCTGTGATGCATAATGTACAATAACCAAATGAGTTTATGCAAACTTATGTTGACAAAAAGATGTTAAGGCTGTTGTACATACCTTGAACACGTGAAATGCCTCAATTTGAATATTTTTACTCGAATCCTGACAAAATAAAAAAAAACACTAAAAAGTTGAGAAAGGGTGGCAAACAGTACAAGGAGTCACTTGAAGGGTAGAGCACTTCAAGCGTGTAAGCTCAAGTTGCCACTAGTGAAATGAGGTACACTGACCCTTAAGAGATTCATAAGAATCATGAGATTGTCTTTGGAACTAACATAGCGCATCATGACTGCAGCATTTGATCTATCCAGCAGCATATCTCCCAACAACTGAAAGGAAAAGATTAATACATGAGAATCTTGATCAATAAAAAAAAATTCCTCCCTCTGTTCTACAACATTTGTCCATGGCACATCCGCATGGACAAAGTAAGTGATGGTTTTAAGGAAAAGAAATAGTGTGAAATGGCCATCCATACCCCTATAAAAAAATGGACCCATCTCTCATTTATCAGAACATTTAATTTGTGGGGAGTGGAAATACTACAATAACTACACCATTGGTATCTTCACTGGACAAATATTGTAGTACGCTTTTCTCCCAAGGCCATGGACAATTATGGTAGAACAGAGGGAGCATAGAAGATTTTGAAATGATTCAAAATAATATATATATAAAAAGCTAATTATGGTGCAAGAAATCAATGATTATAGGTGTTTTCTATGTATCTAGAAAAGTCAAAATGACCTATAATTTAGGACATAGGGAGTACACAGAAACAAAGCACAGACAAACCAATCATAATACAAAGGTAGCAGTACCTTGATAGCTTGCCTTTTTGTTATGTAGTTGGTTGATGACAGCAACCTAGAGTTGAATTCTTCAAAGAACTAAGGAATGTAAATGCAAGAGGGTTAAGATTAGAAAAGTAGAATTGCACAAAAAATAATTCATGGTGCTAATTATGACATATCAAGTAGACTAGAATAATCTATCATGCCAGCCAAACTAGGGATTGAATTAACCAATTATTCAAAGGGCCATCTATATAGAATTTCTGATGGTTCATAACTAAGATTCATCGATACAAAACTTCTAGTAGTTCACCACTACGGTTTAAGCCTCTAAAGAGGGCAATACAGTGAATTCAGCTTGCCAACAATTCGACGATGTAACCAATTCAATCAGGTTAGACCTAACTAGAGACAATATTAAAACCAGGTAGATATCAACACATATAACCACAGAATTTAATGTTGCGCTACAACTTGACTAAGATCATATATGGTTTGAACATATACAGCGAGAAGAAGGATACAAAATTTTCGTAAATGAAATAAGTTTGAATAATGTTCCCAAGGTAAAAATACTGACCCAATCATAATTGTTGGAGAGAAATTCAGCCACGGTTGCTTTATGCCTTGTCAATAGTTCCTGCTTACAGTAGAGCATAATATGACCAGACTAGACCACAATATATGAAAAATACTTTTAATGGTAAAAAGTGAAGCAACTCGCCTTAAAGGTAGCAGAAGCATCAGAAGCTATGTCAAAATTTGGAAGCTGTATATAGTCGAATAACTTTTTCATGTGTTCAGACTCTAAAACATACCTGTCAATGAACAAATTATATAAGAAAATAGCACCAAAAGTCCACAGGAGCTTCCAATTTCAACAATATTTTTGTACTTATGGATGTCCAGATTGGTAGTCATTATTTAATTTATATTTTGTTTTGATATCCTATAATATCCTGGGGGTAAATAGAGTCCATGGAATAAAACCACTGACCTAATCTAAATCATTCATAGTGCTTCTAGATGTGCACAAAAACCGTCCGCGTGATGAAGGATCACACTGCTAATATGCACACCCTTTGTTGAACTGGGTGCGATCAGACTTCTATCAGATAGGAAAACAAATAACAAAACTTGATCTGCTATATGAAAGGACACCACCCAAAAAAATGAAATCTGCAAAGCAGGCATTCTGCTACATAAATCATTCAAAATATTTCCTTTTATTAATTAGCAATTTTGATGTTCACTACTGCTCAAAGACTTAGAAATGGAATTCTATTATGGCAAACGAGAATGCATATTTGACTAATATACGGATTTCCATTGGTGGTTCTTGAATGAGCATTTCATGGGTATGGCCGTCTTTGCTAATGATACAAATGACGTGATGCTTGAATCTTGATTAATCAATTAACTGTGATATAATATATACTGTGTTGTATTAACGTACTATCAACATTTAAAATCAGTAGTATCACCTTGCAATGCTTTGGTGGCGAATACATTCCCTCAACATAGCACCATAATGTAAAGCAATGTCCATATTCTCATACCTGTATGGTGAAGAAATATATAGTGGAAGATGAAATAATGAGTGAAATAACATCCCATATTATCAACACTACACAACTAATTCCAGAACAAGCTAATGAGACATTACAAAGCTAAAACACATATTTTTTGCTGCAATGCTATACAGATATTTTCACCTCTGCGCACATATTTATAAATTCAGGTGTTAACTAACATACATGAACAATGCTATCAAGTCATCTAGTCAATCCTAGTCGCCATGGGACCGACCAGGCAACTAGTCGCAATTAGTCATCGACCAGGCGACTAGTCGGCCCCTAGTCGTCCTATATATATCAGGACTAATATACCAAATATATTACTAATATACTATATGTTCTAGAGTATAAATCAAGCATGAAGATAACTCTAGGGTGGTGGCTGCATGTAGGGTTGCAAATTGGGATAAAAAACATGAGCCCAAGTGCCCTAAGTCATCCCAGATGCAGCCCATGTCCACAGCTGCCCACAAATTCCATTACGTTCCTGGTCGTCCGACTAATCATGATTAGTCGACAACTAATCAGGCGACCAGGAAACTAATCGGCCTAATCGAGTCGTAGCCCCTAGTGTCCAGGATACCGACTAGGACGACTAATTGCGATTAATGGGATGACTTGATAACACTGCATGAACATACAAGTAATCTAATCTGTCAAATGACGATAAGTTGGTAACTGTACAGTGTTGAGTTGAAGTGTATAAGGGGGGAAAACATTCTTCAAATACAGAGATTTAAGCACCAATAAAGTATCTGGGGGAATGAAATGCAACCCACATCAGACCAAAAAAACAGTCTTAAGACTGCGAACATGAAAATTTATGTTTCAAATGGCCTCATTTGGGTATTCAGTTTTACAAGACCATTCAAACAATACCATAATCAAAGAGTCAGGAACACGTGGATCAGTGAACACATGGATAGCACTAACAATCTCAAAGATAAAAGTGAGCTAAACAAGCAATAATAATAAACTTTTCCAATGATTTATTTTGATAGGAAAAGGAGAGAGAACTAATCATCATTAGTTATTTTTAATTGGACAGTAATCTTACCCTAAAATTAAAATGTCCAAGAGATCTTTATTTGACTCTAGGTACTCAGACGCAACTATCTTTGAGGATACTTGCTGTCTTTGCAAGTTTGCAACGACTTGAGTAGCATCTTTCCTAGTCTGCAACAATCAAAAGTAGAGATACATCCATAAGAATGTATCATGTTTTTGTGTAAAAATGACAACAAGAGAGGTATATATTACATATGTAATAAAAGTTATTCCAGTAGTACTGTCAATCTACATTCAAAAACAGGTCAAATTCCATACCTCCAAATTTAGTTTTGGAAGATGTATGATTAATAGCCGTAAAGTGTTCTCCCTGAAGAATTCTTGGGTCAGTTGAACACATGCTTCAGTTACAGGCTCTGATTCACCATTGCCGTAAAGGATAGACTTCATGTCCCTGATATTTTTGCTTAGCTCTGCCATCTGCAAAAAGTCATCCTTAGGTACAGCTCATTTTAATAGATATAAGAGAGAATTCCTTATTTGACACCGGAAAAATGAGTCGTTCCTTTCTTGGCCCTGAAATTTTCTTCGTTCCCTATTTGACACCCACTTCAACTTTCATCCCTAATTTGACACTACCGTCAAATCCGTTAGCTAACGGTGTTAACTGGCAGTTAAAAAGACATTTTTGCCCCTAGAAAAAAAAGCGGCGAAGCAAATTTGAGAGGGAAAAAAAACTGCGCCCGCCTCTGATGCATGCGCCCAACTGCAAAAAAAGGCGCAGGTTTTGTTTTCTCTCGAATTTGCTTTGCCGCTTTTTTTCTAGGGGCAAAAACGTCTTTTTAACAGCTAGTTAACACCGTTAGCTAACGGATTTGACGGTAGTGTCAAATTAGGGATGAAAGTTGAAGTGAGTGTCAAATAGGGAACGAAGAAAATTTCAGGGCCAAGAAAGGAACGACTCATTTTCCCAGTGTCAAATAAGGAATTATCTCTAGATATAAGACATTGCACATTAACAATCTATTTTTCTTCTTCTATAGATGGCCACAGGCATCAACAAGTATCCAAAGGTTCATATATATAGCATATAATTCTGAACATGGAGCTGTTCGTAAAAAGTGCAGGTTGGTGGTTGGCTGGTGGCAACTTCGACAGAACTTAGGTGCTTACGGTATCCAAGTATTACATACTTTTGCATACAGATGGTGATACCTACTAGTAACTCCACAGTGAGCTAGGATGACAAGTTCATGGATGATAACCTACAAAATGCTCATATTTGCACCAACTATTATCATAACTATGTAGCTCAGTGCTGCTGATACACCCAAAAACATATTTCCAGAAGTTCCATGAGATATTCCCTTTATATTTTTTACAATTTGATCATGAATGACATCAAGGAAACTAGGGCACCGTGGCTGCCAGCACTATTTCCATCACGAGATTAGTGTTATGCATCACAAATTAAGTAAAGATCAGCCCACATTCGCGCGCAATCAGGGTCGAGCCAGCGGGCACAAATGGGGAATCGAAGCCACGAAATCCCTAGACAGAGGGTGAGACCCGATCTCACCTTCTCCTCGCGCTTGGCGTCGCCGCTCCGGGAGCCAGAGTGGAGGTCGAGCTGGACGAGGCCCTCGCGCGTCTGCCGCACGATGTCGACGGGCGTCCGCGGCTTGGACTTGAAGAGGCCCTTCATCTTGGCCCCGTCGTCGGCTGCCGCCGCAGCCGCGGCCGCAGCGGCGGTCAGGCGCGGCGGGGAGGGCAAGGGCGAGGCCTTGGGCCGGCTCCGCCCCGCCGACCCGAACGAGAAGCAGCCGCGCAGGAACGCCACGGGGTCGCCGCGTGGGAGGGCCCTCGGGGGGCCCTGCTCTCCTCCGCGCGGGGCCGGGAGTTCGATCGGAGCGCGGCGAGGGAGAACGCGGACGCGAGGGTACGAGGGCTCGAGCTCGTGCCCGTGATGCGCAGAGGGGAGGGGACGAGGGGTGATCCGGTGATGGGCAGACAGGGCGGTGGCCGGTGGGGCACGAGGCTGATGAGATCGGCTATAGTATCGACCGGTGAAGGACGAGGCCGGTCGCGTTTCGCGACGCTTCCTAATCCTGCCTGTGCCAGCGTCTCGCTGTCCCGATCTCAGTTTTGCGCTCTCTCTGCTCTGCTGCTTCTGTGCCTCTTTTCTGCCGCCTTTTTCTTCGCACACCATCTTTGGATTCAGTGGCGACGACGAGATCCTCCCTGGAATGAATCAACGCAAAATCCACGGCTCGACGGCCGTCCACGAATGTGATTTGGCATTCATGTCAAATCGTGATTAATTAAGAAAAAAACTCGTGGAAACGGCCGTCTATCAAATCAAATTAAAAAAGAAGAGACAAAACTTATGGAGACGTGCTTTAACTTTCACTGCTTAGATTCTTAGGATGCCTTTTGCCCTTTTGTGTTTTTCCTCCTTGCACAGCACGGGTATTCCTCCTTTCGGCTGGTACATCAGACTACTGCATAATCTGATTGATTTTAGTTAATTTAATAATGTTCTGAGAGGATAAGCTAAAACAAACTGAGAGAAGTCGAGCCAAACACGCTTACAACCCTGATACAGTCATGCACCTAGGAGGAACACGACGAGACGGAACAGAATATACGCATGGGTGGTGGGATATGTCCTGTGGCTCTCACCTGCAGCCTGTGCAGATGCCTTCTAAAGTTTGGAACATCTATGGGCAAAGTGAAAACTGAACCACTTTGTACCGCAAAAGGGCGCACTCGTGTGCTGTGTTATTACAGTGGCCCTTTTTTAATTTTCCGTTCAGCTAAAATTTGGCTGCTGCTAACGTTGATACTGATTTATTGTAAAAGAAAAATATTGTTTCTTCGCTGAAAAGTACTGCTGAAGTAGTGCTAAAAAACAGGGTGAGTATCTTCGAGCTCAAATTTCTTTTCTGTCTATTGAATTTGAGGAACGAATTGATAATATATATTTATTATGTTAATATTTAGGCAACGAAAAAACCTCCACATTAATTATCAAGATCTAAAAAATAATTACCATAACCAAAAAGAAATTAACTATGTGAATGTTGACAAAGTACGGGAGGTTAAAAAAACAGTAATGCTACCATTAAGATTGGACGTCTCGCTCCACTCTCTGCCACATGTGTTACTCACCTAAAAAAACAAAATCAACTTCCGTACTCCTCGCTCCGCTCGGCTCCGCTCCCACATGCGGCGCTCAACTGCCAGCCGCCCAGCCCTACCAAATGCGGTGCGCGGCTACCCTCTCCTGGTTTCGGCGTGCGGCTGCCTGCAAGTCGCGGCAGCGCGGTTGCAGGCCCTGCCAGGCTCGTAGCCGCCTGCGAGTTACAACGCTCGGCTACCGCCCCTGCCAGGCACGGCGCGAGGCCATTGCCTCCCTGTCCTATCGCGTAGCCACTGCCTACAAGCACCGTCGGCCCGTTGCCTCCATTATCCCAAACAGTAAGAAGATGTTTACACTAAAACTACATGTTGCAAGTATCTGTTTCAAGTGTTTCAAATATTTCAGAGGTATGTTGCAAGTGTTTCATACGGATATTGTAAAAGTAGATCGGGATGTTGCACATGTTTCAATGGTTGTACACGTATGTTGCAAGCTTCTTTTCTCAATGTTTAATCTGTTTTTTTTCGACGTACGTTGCAAGTGTGTTTATCTGGATGTTGCATATGTTTTCACACATATGATGATGCAAGTGTTTTATCTGGATATTGCGTATGTTTACAATGGTTTCAAGTATTTTTCAGGTTTTTTTGCAAGTGTTTCAGACGCATGTTTCATTTGTTTTTAGACGTATGTTGCATTTGTTGCATCTTGATGTTTTAAAATTAGACCGAGTGTTGCATCTCACTCCTCGCATTTCTGCTGTCTCGCCTCGGTGTCAGGCGCGGGAAGGTGGAGGCGGTCCCCACTGGCACGGGCAGGCCCCATGTGCTTGCGGGCGGGCGCAGCAGACGAGATGTGGGCAGGCAGGCGCGGGACGCAGGACGGGGGGCAGCGGCGCGGGCGATTGGACGGGGGGCTAGCGTCCGGCCGTCCGGGCGCTAGGCAGGCCCAAAAAAACTAAAAGTTCGGAGCCGAGAGAGTTAGTACATACATACACACGGCACATAGAATTCTTCAAATTTAAAACAAGCCCTCTTTGGAATACGAGATTTCTACATGTTTTTTTTGTGTTTTTTATATCAAATCGAATTGATTTTTATAAGATAACTTTATAATTCTTATGAAATTCCTTCGCTTCAAAGGGACTCTTAGACTTAACCGCTGGTTTTTGTGCTCCATTACTCGAGTAATAAGATAGAATGAAAGAGATTGAACGGAGGGGTTGAATTGCAAAAAAAGATTTGAGCGGATAGATCAACCGAAGATGAGATAACGGGGGATAAGGATCGACGAAGGATAATCGCCAAACTAATGTGAATGGTGGGTTATACCTGACAAGGCCAAAAGTCTAAATCAGTTTTATTTTTCTTTTTTTTTAACAAAAGAAAATAATCTCTCGTAGTCTCATTTATCCTATGCTTTCCTAGCTATCAAATTGTCCAGACTCCAGAGAGCTGGTCGGGATCTCTAGAGAAAACCACAAATTATGCACCCTTCGAAGCAGTTAACAAAACTAAAAAAACAGCAAACACTCCGTATTGTTAGAGTTACTTGAGCACATAGACACCAGCAAGACACTTGTCAATGATCCCCTTGATAGTATGCCATTTTTTATACTAGCTATCAAAATAAAATGGGTGTAAAATATCAATCATCATCCTATCATAGTAAGTTTTAACTTCCTAGAATTTTTTTTTTCGAGAACATGCGTAGCACATATTTCATTAAGAAGAAGAGATTGAATACAAACGAGGAGTCTAAAAGGCGAGATGCCCTAAAGACGCCCTACAACTACCAGGTTTACATTAAGCTGATGTTACATGACGAGTTCGCGACTATAGGCTTTTGCGTTTGTAAGCAAGCTCAGTCCAAGACGGATAGCACCCGACCCCTCCTTGCACCCACCTTTGGGAACAGCTCCCGCATAGCAGCGCGCTTGGAAGAGGAGAGCGGCTCGGTGAACGTCTCACGGAACCTGGTGACCATGGAAACTAAGGATGGCAGCGGGGCGGGTTCGGGTCGGATATCCGTGGGTTTTGGGTCCAACGGTTTCGGTTTCGGGGACTGGTTTTCGTCCACGGTTTTTGGGTTTGGATACCCGAAAAGTGACGGGTTCGGGGCGGATTTTGAGCTTCACCCGCGGATCCCCATCGGGGCCCAAAACAATTCAGCCCACTAGTAGCCCATAACCAACCCTAGGTATATAATCATCAAATCCTCACTCCCTCTCCCTCAGACCCTCACCTGACACCCCATCCCTGGGTGATGACGGCCGCATCGGGCGCTCCCGTCCGCTTCCCCGCTCGGTGCTTCACACCCTCGCCCTCTCTCTCCCCCCTTCACCCTCTCTCGGTCCCGGAACCAGAACCACAGTGGCGCTCGGCCTCCTCCTTAGCCGCGCGTCCCCACTCGACGCCGCGACACTTTACGGCCACCTCAAACCTCAGTGGCTCGGCGCCTTGGTCGCCACCCGAGGCCGATGCCCGACGCTTAGTAGGGGGGCACCGTGCCCAGCAGGCAACAACGAGTTGCTGCCCAGTCGACGCCGCTAGGACCACCTCACGCGCGCCTAGCAGGGGCCAGGGGCACAAGCCGCCCGCCGACGCAGGTGCACCCAGCCGGTGGCGGAGGTAAGCACCGAGCAGACCCCTGAATCTTTTCTCTGTGTAAAATTTTCGGGTTTCGGAGGATCCATTGGGTTTCGGGGATCCGCCAGGTTTGGTTTCGGGGATGGATTTCCACCCGAATCGGTCTTCAGGGCAGATTCGGGTTTTCAGGTCGGGTTTCGATTTTGGGTGCACGAAGACTCCACCCGATCCGAACCCGCCCAATTGCCATCCTGAATGGAAACATTAGGAGTCTGCGAAGCGTTCGCCGGCCGATGATCCCACTTCTTAGAATTAGGAAGTCGCCAATAGCCATTACCACTTCTCTTTGTATTTATTCTACACAATGCTTCATAAATTTTACTGTCTAAGACCTAGGATTACGTGTCTTAGACCTCAATCTTGAAAGATTTCTTCACTAAAGTCACCATTCAGTGGTATCGATGCGGAGGAAGAGAGCAAATAGCAAAGCATATCACACATCGAAAGCCAAACCCCGCGCAACTGAGCTGTTAATTCAATTCAAGCCATTTGCTAGTCTTGATAAAAAGACAATGACAAAGAAGTTGAGCTAGAAAAGAGAACCGATGTTCGTGACTACGTGTGTCCTGCAAGAACGAAAGATGCGCGCGGCCCAGGGTCTAGGGGCTGTGGCCTGTGGGCCGTGGGGTGGCAGATTGCATTGATTTTGCACGTACAAGCATGGGCCATGAGACTCGAAAAGTCATGTACAGTATAGTAGCTACTGGCGATTTTTTTTTATTTTTAACACTTTTTTAAATTAATTTTAAATCTAACACTGATTTATTTATTTTTTCAAAACTAACACTTTTGCTCGCGCCTATTTCTCTGGCGCGGCGAAACACCTGTGCCGCGCCATGCATGGTGGCGCGGCGAGAAGGATGACGTGGCGACGGCCGGGGCGCTGACCGGTGATGTTGCAGGTTCTGCCACGCC